ATCTTTAAAAAAAAGCAAACAACTGATACATACCACCACCGGCAATGGTCGCTTTGATGAGGGAATCCAATTCTTCGTCTCCTCTGATGGCAAGTTGCAAGTGACGGGGAGTGATACGTTTCACTTTCAAATCTTTGGAAGCGTTACCAGCCAACTCCAACACCTGACAGAAACAGAATGCAAGGTGAGATAAGAACAAATAAAAAAGCAACCAAGGAAGTTGAGTATTAAACATGACAAGTCAAAACAAAACAAACCTCAGCAGTCAAGTACTCCAGAATAGCTGCACTGTAAACAGCAGCTGTGGCACCAACACGGCCATGACTGGTTGTTCTGTTCTTCAAATGCCTGTGGATACGGCCGACAGGGAACTGGAAACAAAATAGAAGACCGTTGAAGTTTAAACTACCATATGTCCAAGTTAGAACACTGACACAAAATTGGAGGGAAACTTCAGAGCCCCGTATAGGTTAGCTTTGTTTACAATGCGAAGCAAATGCAATGAAAGTGAGAATGGATACAATAAAAATAACTACATCGAGTCAAGTCTGAAGACCACTCGTATTTGAAACATACTGCAAACGACAACCAGTTCCCAAAACACAGCAAACAATGAAAATGCAAGTTAAGATGCTGAGGTCAGCTGAACCCTTAGGCAAAGTTGACACTCGTTAAACTATGAAAGTTTAAGGTTGAGCCACACGGTTTAATCAAATTGCGTTCACAGAGAGAATAGAAAACAGGAAATGCCAAGTTTTTGATCGACATCAACTCAACATTCTGAGGAAACACAGTACCGGCTAGACTGATGTAACAAATCCATTGCCTACTGCCTACCTACGAGGCACATAAATTAACTAGGCATTAGGGTCGCGGAAATAACGAGTCCAAAGTTTCAAGAGACGACAAGAATGAAAGTAGACAGCTATAGAATCAATATCAACAACGTTCACACCAGTAAAGATTTAGGCTTACCTGAAGTCCCGCCCGCGCAGATCGAGATACGGCTTTGGCCTTAGCCTTTCCGGAGTCCTTACCAGCTTTACCTCCAGCCTAGAAAACACAACAAATATCACTCAATTTTTACGGTACGACACTGAAACTTCGCCAGCGGGCGCAGAAACTATTGGGGAATCCGAATCCGCAAAAATTTCCAACCGATGGCACAAAGAACAGGGAAAATTATCGGATAACGCACCATTGTGAAACAGTGAGCTACAAAGCACCAAGCAACGCCGAGCGTACCCGCCAAATGCTGCGACAAGAGAGTAACGGACAACGCCGAAGCCGAAGCTCGCTCGGGTCATGTGACTCGTCTCGGCCAATCAGCAGGCGCGTTGCCGCGCGGAAGTGCTGCGCTCTAGCGGCGGCGCCGCGAAACTGTCGTTTTAAAGATGGCCGTTTGGGGGAGTAGCTGCGCGGGCATTTTTCTGTTGGCGGGAAGGGAGAGGTGAAGGGCGCGAGAAAAACCGGTTACGTAGAACTACGGAGGAAGACGTCTAAAGACACTACGCACCTCTCAACGCATCAGCATTTTACGAAGAAGCAAGTAGGGGGTACGAAGTCACCACAATTTCCAAAGGTGACCCCCCTCCCCCCTCACCCAAAATCACCACTTGTAGAGATGGGGCCTAGCGAGCGCGTACAAAATTAATTGCGGACGAGATATTACAAAGAAAGCAAAATCACGTCATGCCGATTTAAAAATTCGGTGTCTGAGGCCCCCGGTGTTCGATACGGCGAAAACTTTTGACGTGTCAGCACAGCAAAGGCTGCGAACACAGAAAAACACACCGGCCTGTCAAAGTTAAATCGCGCGCCATTTGGTCGGTTTAAAAGGATATGGAAAAATAGACAATGGTCGATTTACCCGCCATTTCATTGCCCGCGAATTTGAATCCACGCAACCCCCTACCCTCCCCTACCACTTCCCTCCCCAGCCTCACCCCTCGCACCCCTCCGCTCTGGAACCAGCAGCATCTTCCGCGGGGGGGACGTACTTCAGCTATGAGTGGCGAAGGGGAGCGTGGAAGTTCATATGGAATTCCCAGGCCGTGTACCTGGGGAGGACGGGGATCACCAAGGGGGTCACGCTGCTCTCGCCCTTCTAATTTTGCAGCCATGTCCTGGAGGGTCATCCACAGCAGGCGCACTAGTCCAGGCGCCGCATAGGGCACCGCCAGGAACTTTACGGACGACCCCCCTGCGGCTGCAGTCGCCGCGGACGCGGCGGCTCGGCGGCAGCGCGCCACTCCGACGGGTGCAGCGCTCTGGCGGCCGAGACGTCAACCTCCTCCGAACAGCTGGTTGTGGAGGTAGGACAAAGTATGTCTTGAAAAGGTGGAGAGGGGAGCGGCTGCCCCCTCTCTGCCGTGCCCCGCCCCGCCCCTGCGGTTGCCGGCGTGCATGCC